GATTGAATAATATTTATAACCACTCCAGATAAGTTGTAGATTGAACGTTGATTAATTGTAGAGTTCCATTGTTTATTAACACTCCAGATAGGTTGTGGATTGTAAGTTTTGAAAGTTTATAGCCACTTAGTAATTTTGGCAAAATCTGGATGAAAAGCACTACAAATGCTTTACATAAACTCGCTTAAAGTCATAAAGCCACTTTGTCATCACTTGCATTACCACGTGATACTAATCGCTGGAGTGCCAACTTCGCTCTCTTCGATGTATGACCACACTTCTCACCCAGTGACAGGCTTGTGGAACGACAGGTTATATGTTGTCTCTATGTTGCGGATGTTTAAGTTGTACAGCGCCATGCTAATCATTTCAAGGATAATCATCTAATCAGGAATCGGTTTAAATAAAACTTTGTCATCTCCTCTCTGTCTACCATCTCATCTAAAATGGAACGTATAACATTCAATTATAATTAAGCCAGTTTCTTGCACAGTGAGACAATATAATTTAATGAATACTAAGTAAGGCCTTCAGCGTATAATTAACGATTCACGGTTAATAATAGTTTGTAAAACGAAATCTGAATTGACCATCTGAAGTAGTCATAATACAACGTGCAGACATGGACTGCAAAGCAGTTTACCTTACATTTCCTTTAGTGCGTCTAGTTCCTGCACCAATAGTTTGCCATCTCTGCCCTCAGATTCAAGTTCCTGAATGGCGACGGTAACCCCTTTACCCTCATATTTTGACCCAACTTCCTGATGTCCTGTGACTTCGGTCGATTCAAAGAGACCAACCTCAAAGTTATTCTGCTGTGGAGGCAGTTGATCAAGGTCTACTTTGGGAGCAGGCACAGCAAGTGGTGCCTGGCCCTCCTCGATGTTTGGTAGGTCAGACATATGGGAATCTTTCCCTGGAACTCTCTCCTTTGTCTCTAACGGCACTTGTGAGACGGTGACAGGTACAAGACCAGGGAATAGCTCTTTGGACTGCTGCTCATTCACCATGTCCTCCTGAGGTTTAGGTTCAATGTCCGTTCCGTTCTTCACTGGTGTCGGTACAAGATCAGTTTCGTCCCTCACTGGTGTTGGTACAACGTCCACTCCGACCCTCACTGGTGTTGGGACAAAGTCATTTTCATGGGGCTCCTCAGGGTGAATGTCCAACATTTCCTTAGACTCTTCGGTCACCAACATTGGTCCCTTTGCTGGGGACAACTGCCTGGGTTCAGGGTGTCTGGTCTCAACAAGTGTTGCAATCTGTGCTGGAGAGACAAGTCTGGGCTCCACCTGGGAGACGAAAGGTGGTCTGTTGCGGATTCTCAGACTTGGCTCCAAGTTCTCCAGTGTTGCCATCAGATTAGACACAGACCCTGTCAATACATCAGAAAGAAACGGTACTGGGGAGTCTGAACGTATCATGCTGTAACATATACATACTTGTGTAGTGTTACATACAGTTTTAGAATATGAATAGTGTTGCATAGAGTACAGTGTTACATACGTTTACGCCTGTCTCCACACATGTTGCAGAAGGCAGCACAGTTACTGGCGGCCCATGCCTTGTAGGATGGGCTAGTACACATCCCTTCCTCGTACTCACTACAGCTCACCTTGTCTGTACAGTCTGCAAACATAACATCAAAACAGTAAAATATTGCCATGAGTGGAAATATCACCAGGTGAAAGGTCACCGAAGGAAAAGCCATCCGGAAAAATATAAAGTCACTACCAAAAAAAGCATTAACAAATATCCAACAAAGAAAAGCTTATTAAAAGAGGAAATGTTTATAGAGAAAATGTGAAGAAATAGTCAAAAGAACCAGTTGTATGAGTAATGATTACCAGAAAAAGGTAAAGAGAGTAAAAGACGGGGGAAATTCAAGAGAAAGAAGTTGATCATATATAGATGTGTTGTCACCTATTGCTAAACTGGAACTTCGGTGCTGATGGAGCGTTAAGACTATCACAATACCCTGCTTGACCTTATAAGCTCACCTAGCCTGAAAGCCAAGCAAGGACTTGTGTTGTGCTGCATTCTGTTGTCGTTTGTAAACCTTTCCTGTAGTAGACCTCTTCTCAATAACCATGGGATAATCACTTAAACCAACTTTAGAAGGAAGCACTTCAGACGTACATTCGTTGGAGCATTATTATTTGTTTACATATGAGTCGTTGAAGAATAGTGCACTCCGAGTGTAATAACACAGTAAAAGATCAGGGTCCAAAAGAGGTCAAATGAAAGGAGTCTGAAAAAGAACCCGCTAGTCCGATGGTTCGATGTTTTAAATGTTGCATTCTTAGTACATATTTTTTGAATAAAAACATACTGCAGGAGGTGTGATTATGAGGTCATTTAGTTGTTGTAGCTCTCCTTCTTCTTCTTGGAAGCAATGGGTTTAGAACAAATAAACATAGGAAATGATTTGGGATACATTTTAGGTCACCTGAGCTTTAGCTCGTGACCTATTGCTATCCGTCT